CCTGGAGTCTCATCCTACAAGTGACTGAATTAGAGGGAATGTAAATTGATTAATTTAATTTTGCATTTCTGAGTACCTACGGAATCCTTCTCAGTACCATTGTAGTAAAACGGAGCACATCACAAGTAGAATTACCCCAGGAATGTTTGGGTGGTTAGAAGTTAGAAAGACAGGCATCTTGCATCGAATCATATAAAATTATCTTTTGTGTATGTTATCCATTGCTGATATCCACAATTTCATGTGATTAAAGTGCGTTTAATTTTTCTTTTAAGTTGAGAATTGTCAATACCTACCCATGTTGTATTTGTGGTAATTGTAGTACTGACACATACTCTATCAAACATAATTTTAATTTACGAAATTTGGCAACACAAATCCTTGCATTTGTTAAGTATGAGCTGATATGATAGACTGTGTTTATAAATCAGAGAGCTTGAACCAGTCGAACATGTCCAGAGCATTAAACCCACGGTAAATTCCATAAAAATGAAAAAAAGCATTTGATCGTGTTCCTAGAATATTTCTTCCTGAACATAAGTGCTAGATTAGTAATCTCCAGTAGAATGCTTTTGTATAATTTATGCATACCTACTTCTCATATTAAACACTAATTGATGATCCAGACTTAGAGGTTAGTAAGAAAGTTGAAATAAGTTTGCAATTTTGTTAAATTAAATAAACTATATTTGAATTATAAACCTCCATCCCCCACACCAAATATCTTGCTGAGGCAAAATTTATGGAGTAGATAATCGGTAAACAAATTATCAAAGATTTATTTTTCAAAGAGTCTTCAGATAGTTCTAGATGGAAGATTTCTTTCCTTATTTTTTTTTTTTTCTTTAGCTTGAGTGTTTTAATTACTGTTCAGTATGAACGTTTTCAGAATACAGCCAGAAAGACCTCTAAAAGCATGGACAGTTGACACTTTAATATAGAACTGGAAAAAATATCATTTTCTTATTCTCATGAACAGTCTCTGGCTATATAATACCCCTTATCAAGTTCATGCAATGCCTCATGTTTATGGAGTTATTCTGTACCTGTTTTTATTTTGGTTTAAGGCAGGAAAAATGGATGTTTTGTGTTTTAAAAACTTCAGCCTGACATTTCATGTTTTTGCTTTCTGTGGTAACTCAATAGCCTGGGCAAATTTTCTTTCTTTTGACCATTTTTCCCTCCAGTATCTTCTTTTTTTTTTTTTTTTTAATTTTTTTTTTAACGTTTATTTATTTTTGAGACAGAGACAGAGCATGAACGGGGGAGGGTCAGAGAGAGAGGGAGACACAGAATCGGAAGCAGGCTCCAGGCTCTGAGCCATCAGCCCAGAGCCTGACGCGGGGCTCGAACTCACGGACCGTGAGATCGTGACCTGAGCCGAAGTCGGACGCTCAACCGACTGAGCCACCCAGGCCCCCCCCCTCCAGTATCTTCTTATCAAAATCAGGCTTTAGATAATAGATTTCACCATTCCTGTTATACTGTTTTTGATATACTATTTTTAAGTAAAAAAAAAAAAAAATCTAGTAACTATGGAAAGTACGACCCACTGGCAGAGTTTTAAATAGTTTCCCAGGAACAAATGATTAGGAGGCAATTACGGGAAGATCTGCTTAAAATGTGTGGATGATGAGTATTTGGAGTAGGAAAAAGGATATTTATAATCCTAATCTAATACCTATGTACTGTTGTCATGTTAATGCAAAACAAAGCATTAACATACTTTATACATACTACTATAATCTCCAATTTAGCAGATTTTCTATATAAATGAGGTTGTTAAAATGTTTCCATTTACATTAATTTATTTGCTTCTAAAACCCTGTCTCAATCTTAAATAATATTCTCATTCCTTAGTGACTCTAGATGGATCCCTATCCATCCATCAGCCAGTTGTGGCAAACAACTCCTACAAAATGATTGTCACTGCCTTGAGGTAGTTAAATACATGCTAGAGAATCATAAGCATGAAACCATGTGTCCACATAAACAGCCTGTACCTTAGCAGTAGGTAGGCTAGTGTTGAGATAAATGACATCTAAGTTGCCAAAGGACCTGCTAAAAACAAACCAAGAGATGCCTGTCATATTAAATGCACAGCTTGATAGTAATATTTGATAGGGTAGAGGCGGCCCCAATTACCTCTACAAATTTCATTGAGAGTCAGAAAGATGCATAAGTGCACAACATGAATAAATGCAGATGACTCTTACAATCCTCTGTTACAGTGGAAAAGAGATGTTAAGCATCCCCAGTAAACAAATCCTGGGGCTTTGTTTTGGTTTTAGTTTTAGTTTTAGTTTTAGTTTTAGTTTTAGTTTTAGTTTTAGTTTTAGTTTTAGTTTTAGTTTTAGTTTTA